CCGGATTAGAAGTATAAGTTGAGATTGGTTGATTAAACGGTAACCAGGAGCAAAGTAAAGCAGAGAGAGAGCTCGCCGTAACCTTCTCACCAGAGACTTTACATCCTGCCTTGACAGCTGTGGCCTCCAGCAATTCATCAGTTTTCCCACCCACATAAAGGGTCACACGTTGGACTTACTTTGCTGCTCAGGACTCACTCCTCTTAACTGTACTGCACGGTTCTCACCAAATGCGTCTTCAGCAGCAAAAATGTTCCTGACGTCAGTTTTTGGCTGGTTGTCAACAGATGTCCATTCAGACCGAACGCGTCTGAAGACGCACAATGGGAGGAGCATCTTTGTTCGTTTTCCGGTCTGTTGACGGGTGAAATAAAAATAAAATAAAGAAAATGGCATTGTTTTATTTACTAAAGAGCAAGCAAACGTTGCGCACATCAGATAATTAACTCAAATTAACTCACCAGGGGTCGGATTTTTAAAGCTTGCGTACGCACAAAACGAGCCCAGAAACTTGCGTACGCCACTTTTCATGCCAAGGTTGTGATTTATAAAAATCCAAACTTGACGGGAAAATGTGTGGTCCCTCACGCCAGCTTTGACCCATGCGTACGCTCATTTTGGAGATGTGAAACTGCGACACAGATGGTGAAGTGAGGAATTAGAGCCACACTGTGTAATGATCACTGTCAGATAATTAAAGGTACAGTGTGTAGGATTTTGTCAATTCTTTTAGCCGAAATTGAGATAATCACTAATGACAAAAACAAAAAATGTCTAATCATTGCAGACAAAGACCGTGTTTTATTATTTTTACCTTATAAAAAGCTGTTTATATCTCCATGGTCGTGGGTCGCCACTACTGGCAGCCGCCATCTTGTCTACAAAGGCTCATGAAGGACAAACTGCGGTGGCGGCGTCAAAAACGATTTTAGTTGTAATACTATAAATGTAATATTTGTTGTCTGTCATTAGCTACGTTTACATGGACAAAAGTGAATTAAACAGATTAAACGGTCGTTCGGAATAAAAATGCGTCATGTAAACAGCTCGTTCCGATTATTCTGATCCGATTGAGTTCGATCCGAATGAATTTTTAATCCGAATGAAAAGGGTGGGTTATGCCGATTGATAATCGGAATGAGGTTCATGTAAACACTTAATCAGATCATCTTATTCTGATTGTAGAAAACTGACCTGTGCGCATGTCTGCTGACTTACATCCACCCGGTGGGACAGCAGCGCTCCAGCTGCGCAGCACCGTGTAGAACTTTTTTTCACACTCTCTTAACAGATGAAAAAGGAGGCAAACAGCAGACGTTGCTTCGCAAAAAATAAAAATAAAAAGCACGTATTGCTTCATCTGCAGGCTGCAGCTCAACCGAGGAGTAACAACGTCTCTACCTTTATTAAAAGCTGACACGGGTCCGTCCTGAGCGCACAGAGGAACTTTGTTTACGTTTGTAACATGGAAGTAGAGCTGAATGTTTACAACACTGTGCATGTCCGGACTTTTATTCTGAATAAAACTCCGGTGCATGTAAACACTATTTATTATCGGATTGTGTCCATGTAAACAGTACATTCGGATTATTTAATCTGAATACATTTCAATCCGATTAAAAAATTTTGTGCGTGTAAACATAGCTGGTATAATTTTACTTGTTAAAGCTCATAATCTTACCACTTGAAACATCACTAGCCCTGAAGCTGCTGGTAGATATCGCGATTGGAATTATCAAAGGTTTTTGACACCTGAGAGACACCGTAGCAACTATCAAATAAACAAAATAAGCAAATATCTCCAGCCAGAAAACCAACTTCAGACAGTCGATTTCAGCTAAAGGCTCCTGTCCATCTGTGTCAGGTTCAGGAAACCATCACGTGGAAAAATTATTCTCTCCCGATTGGTTGCTGCTGCACGTTGAGCAGCCAAAGTTCAATTTGTTGAACTCCAGCAGCTGCTGCTTTGGACGTGCCGCATGCACGGAAAATGCTCTGCCGCATCCTACCGCTACCACTGCTCTAAACAACTGCCAAAACGTGCTGCAACATGCTGTGCTGCTCCTAGATGTGCGTCCACCATAGACTTTACATGTAAACTGGATGCTTTGGCTGCTCAAAATGTGTTTGGTGGGAACCCGGCTTACCTCTGCTGAACTTGCATTTACTGCATTTGCATTTGCATTTACCTGTTGCTCTCTTTTAGTGTCAATCTTAAATTTTCTTCTATCAAACCCCAATGCACTCTCTCCTTTCATAATATTAAGAATATAAATCACGATATTCTTCTTTCCCATGTTGACAATACCTTCTCCTCCTTCAGCTCTTCTAACCTGGACAATCTTGTCTCTTTCTACAATAACAGCCTCACCAACATCCTTAACTCTGTCGTTCCGTTAAAAACCCGGTCTGTCTCCTTCTCAAATTCTGCACCCTGGTTCACTCCAGAACTCCGTTCCTTGAAATCCAAAGGCCGGAGCCTGGAGCGCCTCTATAAGAAAACKGGTCTCACAATTCACAAGGATGTCTACAAGAACCACATCAAACAGTARAAGGACAGTATTTCTCAAGCCAAATCCAGTTAATTCCCTAACATCATCAGTTCCAATGTTGGCAATTCTCACTCTTTCTCTCTTCAACCGTACAGTCTCATCTCATAACTCTTTACCCTCTCACATTGGTGTCCACTGATTTTTGTAACTTTCTGTTGTCCTACTTCAATGAAAAAAATTCTGTCCATTTGCAAACACCTTGGCCCAATCACCGCTCGCAGCTCACTTGTCGATTTCCCCCCCACACCTCTCTGTTTTCTCCCTCCCCACTGCTGCTGACATCTGTGCTATCTTTAGCAAGTCTGAGCCCTCATCCTGCCAGCTCGATCCATTTCCCACTGCTCTTGTTAAATTCTGCCTCCTGTCTCTGCTCCCTATCATCACCAGCATTATCCACTCCTCCGTGACCTCTGGTATTGTTCCCACAGCTTTTAAATCAGCAGCCATTACCCCCATCATCAAGAAACCCGGTCTCGACCCAAGTAACTTCTGTAATCTTAGTCCCATCTCTAACCTGCCCTTCATCTCCAAGATTCTAGAAAAAGTTGTCGCCAGTCAACTCCATTCTCACCTTTCCAACAATAACCTTTATGAGGAGTTTCAATCTGGTTTTCGCCCCCACCACAGCACCGAAACCGCCCTCATAAAAATCACCAACAATCTTCGCCTTGCTGCCGACTCTGGTCTCCTGTCCATCCTCATCCTTCTTGACCTAAGTGCTGCTTTTGATACAACCTCTCATTCTATTCTCCTCAACAGACTCAGATCCATTGGCATCTCAGGTACTACGTTTGACAGGTTCAAATCTTATCTTTCCAACCACACTCAATTCACCCAGATAAAATCCTTCCACTATCAGTCATCCACCGTCTCCACTGGTGTGCCCCAAGGCTCTGTCCTTGGACCCCTTCTCTTCATTACTTACCTCTTTCCTCTTGGTTACATTTTCTGCAAGTTTGGTGTCCGTTTTCATTGTTATGCCGATGACACACAACTCTACCTGTCAACCAAGCCAAACTCCACACACCCTCCCTCTATCCTCTCTGACTTTCTCAATGAACTCAATGACTGGTTTTCAGACAATTTCCTTCAGCTGAATAGTGATAAAACAGAAATCTTTGTTGTCGGCACTAAAAATTCCATCTCAAAATCTAATAATCTCCTCATCCCTATCAACAACACTCTGCTAACCCCCTCCCCTCAGGTCAAGAGTCTTGGTGTCATCCTCAACACCACTCTCTCCTTCACTGCTCACATCAATAATGTTACTCGGTCTGCCTACTTCCACCTCAGAAATATCAACCGTCTCCATCCATCTCTCACACCCTGCACCACAGCCATCCTTGTCCACAGTCTTGTGACCTCACGGATTGACTACTGCAACTCTCTCCTTTTTTGGCCTCCCCAACAAATCGCTCCATAAGCTTCAGATGGTGCAGAACTCGGCTGCATGTGTCTTCACCCAAACTTCCTCCCATCACATCACTCCAGTCCTGCAGCAGCTCCATTGGCTCCCGGTCAAATCACGCATCGTCTTCAAAATTCTTCTCACTTTCAAAATTATCCTCCATCTTGCCCCTCCTTACATGTCTGACCTTGTACACCCCCTCTCGTCTCAGATCCTCTTCTTCCCTAAACCTCCAAGTACCCACTGCCCGCCTCTCCACCATGGAGAGCAGGGCCTTCTCCTCTGGAACTCTCTACCATCTGACCTAAGAAACATCATCTCTCTTCCTGTGTTCAAGACGGCTTTGAAAACACATCTCTAGATTAGCGTATCCCTCTTAACTTCATTTGTAAACAGTTCTCTGTAGCTTATGCCTGCTTGTCTCTAACTGAATTTTCACACATTCTTCTATGATGTGTCTGCTGTAAGTGTCCTTGGGTGTCCTGAAAGGCGCTTTTCAAATAAAATTATTATTATTATTATTATTATTATTATTATTATTATTTATTGCCCAGTATTGTGGCATAGGCCGGATCACGGCTAAGGTACAAAGGGTGGTACATTTCTGCTTGCAGCTCTTCTATTTCTTTATTTACTTTTCTTAACCTTTGTCCTTCAGCCCAGGGCACTTGTATAAAGACATGCCACAGTCGAGTGGTAGCATCTAGTGAGTCCGTGTCCAATCTGTCAGATCCAGACTCCATTAAGAGGAAAAGGAGGGAGCTGAGGCTTGGAGATCGTGTCTTGGTAAGAGACACAATGAGTAAAACCATTAAGAAAAGCAGAATTTCACATGTAAATACAAGGCTTTGTAGAAGATTAATGTTTTGTACATGCAGTAAACCCTATATTTACATTCACTGGCCACTTTATTAGGTCCTGTTGTTCAATTGCTTGTTAATGCAAATAAACAAACAACCAATTACATGGCAGCAAGTCAATGAATCAAAACAAGATGGACAACTTGCTGAAATTCAAATTAGGCATCAAAATGAAGTTAAAACATAGATTTATAAGATTTTGTGTGTGTGTGTGTGTGTGTGTGTGTGTGTGTGTGTGTGTGTGTGTGTGTGTGTGTGTGTGTG